TTGCTCCTAGGTAAGGCCAGGAGCTACTAGTAGCGTCCTTGCTCCTAGTACTTGCTCCTACTAGTAAGGCCAGGAGCTACTAGTAGCGTCCTTGCTCCTAGTAGCAATGCCAGGAGCCCCTAGTAGCGTCCTTGCTCCCAGTAGTAAGGCCAGGAGCTACTAGTAGCGTCCTTGCTCCTAGTAGCAATGCCAGGAGCCCCTAGTAGCGTCCTTGCTCCCAGTAGTAAGGCCAGAAGCTACTAGTAGCGTCCTTGCTCCTAGTAGCGAAGCGATGCCAGGAGCCCCTAGTAGCGTCCTTGCTCCTAGTAGCGATGCCAGGAGCCCCTAGTAGTGTTCTTGCTCCTAGTAGTAAGGCCAGGAGACTATGAGAAAGTCAAACCTGCCCCTGGCCCACCCAGATTGCACTAGCACCTCATCCAGCTGAGGCTGCTTCTGTGTCACATCTGTGGCAGACAGAGCCTGTTACGAAGCAGAGCTACCCAGCAAATAGCAAAGGGTCTTCTTGTAAAATAGATGTACATACATATATATATATATATATGCATATACACCACCTTGGCAGCTTTCACCTCAAGCTCTCCCTCAACTTTGGCCTCAGAAAATGTTGCCAGGCTCACCCCTTTGTTCAATGATGTGTTCTTGTATGTTCTTCTTTCATCAATGAAACTAGCTATACGCATCTATAAGCCATAAGCTTGTACATACATGTTTGTTTCTTGTCTATTATATGTATTGATTTCGAAAAAGCAAAATGAAGGCCCAATCGGTGAGCAAACGAATTCGGGGCTCGGGTTCTTCAAGGAAGGGAGAAGCAGGTTCCTTCGCGTCAAAAACGTGTTTCTTCTCTAAACTTACAATGCTTTTCTACATAGTATAAAATATACTATCTAATTTAAACTACTTTTAGATATTAGTTACATACTAGGTAGCAGTAGCTACTACCTGCAAGTAAGCTACTACTTAGGATGCAGGATAGCTCACACTTCTTCAAGGAAGCTCCCCCCGCTAAAGGCGGCGGAAAAGGCTTCCTTGAAGAAGCACTCGCACTAATTAATGATTTGGTTCCTAGATTTTGGGGGAAACTTAACATTAGAAACATACAGTACAAAAATACTTTCTTTTGG